ATAAAAACAGCAGCTTGTTGAACTTTGTTTGCATATCTCTTTGATTAATATCTATAGATCCATTGTACTGAAAATAAACTACTTAGCAAGAAAATTGTTTTGCATTTGGTCTCTTTGATTCATCTGCATAAACAATTTTGGCAACTGAGACTAAATATTGGGCAATACTTAAATAGTTCAGGATTGTACCCTAAATCAGACTCATTAAAAAAGGAAATAGGTTCAATCATTTCTATACTCTTTAAAGTAAATGTTTGCCTCCCAAAAAAGAGATAATAAAAGAAAACAAGAGACTAGGGGAAAAAAAGGACATAAGAAATCTATTGTGCATCATGCTTCAAATAATCATTTGTTTTAACTTTAACCCTTACATTCAGTCACTTAGAAAGTCATTATCTTGAAAAGCTCATCTTTGATCAGTTTCATACTAATTCACACACATTCTGCTTTTATCAGAAGAATTGGAGACCACAAGGCATTTGTTTTTGCTTTTACTTTTTAATGTATTTAGTGCAGGGTCTACAGGGTCTCACTACACAGATTGGACGAGTAGTGATCCTCCTGTTTCCAGCCTCCCAAGTGCTGGGACTACAGGTGCACTCCACCACATCCAGTCTCAGTCCTAGTCAGTCTCAGCATGACCCGGGGGCAAGTCCAACACAGCACGTGGGATCAAACCCTGGTCCCTGAGCCTGCCTAAGCAGGCACTTTAGTCTGCTGAGCTCTCTGGCTGGCCCAAGCATTTGAAATAGATGATAACTTTTTTGGTTGAGTAACTCAGCTGGCTCTCCCAAGCCTGGCTCCTTCCAGCTGCAGTACAGCCATGCTGACAAATGGCTACTCCAGTATGATTCAGCATCTACCCTCAACCTCAGCCAACGGATTTCTAGCTCCTTGCAATTCCTGTGTCAATGAAACATTTTACATAGCCAATTTCAGAGAGAATTTCACTTACCTCTCTTTTGCAGATTCTTTTTTAGCAGAGTTTTCTAATATTCTTAGGTATGAAAAAGTAGGCATCATAACAAAGCATTCTGCTTCAGGGAATTTCTACTTCTAAACATAACAATCTGCTCATGTTTCTCAGCACATTTATTAGATCTTTCTGTCCAGATAGGAGTAAAGTGCTTTAGTATATGATGTAGAGACTATTTCACAATAAAAGAGTTTGGCAGTTGTTCAAGAAACTAAATGTAGAGTTACCAAATGTAATACAATTCCATTGTTAGGTAAATAACTAAAGTTGGGGAAAGGGAGTTGAAGATACTTACGCACCAGTGCTCACTTCAAACTTTTGACTGTGGTGCAGAAGGTTGAAACAATCCAAGTGTCATCAGCAGGTGAGTGGGCACACAGAATGCGCTGTATACATATGACAGGATTCTAAAAATGATGTTCTGGTACATCTAACAAAAAGGAGAACCTTGACAACATTGTGCTGGATGAAATGTCAGCACAAAAGGACAGATATGGTTATGAGTTTATTTACATGAAATATCTAGAAAGGAAATTTTATGGAGATAAAGCAGAAATTCTACTTCTAAGCATAACAAACTGCTCATTTTCTTCAGCACATTTAGTAGATCTTCTTGTCCAGATACGAGAAAATTGCTTTACTATATGATGTAGAGACTATTTAGTAATAAAACTGCTATGTTTATATATGTATTTAAAATAAATACATCAAAGGATTTTATATTTTCTAAAAACTAGTTTCCACAATGGAAAATAAACTTTTAGTAGGAGTAAATAGGGTTAACTAGGGGGAGTGTATTTCAGGCTAAGAAAGAGAAAGAAGAAACAAGGTATAAAATGAGCATGGTGATCATCTCAAGTGAATTCTACAAGGCAGGCCCAAGATACAGAGTGAATGAAGAAGAAAATGAGAATAGAAGGTGGGAAGAAAATGTAAATATAAATACCTTGACTCACGCGCATCACGAGCACCCGAGGTGGCCTCTGGAGTCCAGAGGCCATGAGCCTTTCCCCATTAGACCACAGGGCATAACAGTACATTCTAGTCTTCATTTTCTCACAAAGAAAACCAAAGGCAAGGCATTCCATTTGCATGCTCTCTTTTCTAATAAACCTTACTTAGCAAAGCTCTCGATTCTTGATTGTTTCATCAGACAGTCTCTTACCTTCACACTGTCTGGAGAGGCCCCCAGGAAATCACCAGCATGCTGTTCTGGGCACTCCGGTTTTGTACTGTTGCTGAGGCACAGGCCCCAGTGGCCCGACCAGGGCAAGCACAGGCGTACACACTGCACTATAGACTCCTTTCTAGTGAGGCAGGGCTTGACCATGCCACTTCGATGCATCTAACATGTATTGCATTTCTTTCCCAGTTTCCCATAAATATAGGCTGAGAGAAAGTGTGTAGATGAATGTATGCATATTTATTCTTACTCTTTCTAAATTGATTTAAGAAGTGGGAGTCATTACATCCCATGAAGACAGCCTGCTGCCTTGATGGAGAGTGATTAGTAAACTATCCAGCAGCCTGGTTTATTGGAAGAAGCTTAGTTAGAATGCAATGGGTAATTTTCCTATTGAAAACACTGTCTTCAGTGATTCCAGACAATACAGGCTGTATACGAGTCATTCTCCCCTACTGGAAACAGGAAAGCAGTGGTTTTTGGTTTCTAAAAGTGACAAAAACATTGTTCAGTTATTTGTGCTATTGTCTGTTCACCAGCAAGAACTCAGAGGAACAGTTTTATTTTCTCTAAAATAAACCTAAGGTTTATAAAAAATGAAACAAGAAAAATAATCATGTTTGGGGCTAGGTACACTCTCTACACAGATTATGAGTCCACACTTCTACTGCTTATGTAATTTTATATGATATTTTAAGATACATCATGGACACACACTGTCTTCCTAGTCAACTATTCTTCTAGTCACTTATGGGCTTGACTTTGCGTGTATTATATTTATACATAAATACCCGCTTCTAAGTTTGCATATACATATATATGTATATAAATTTGTTACAGGGTCTTATTATGCCTTATTCAGACCCATAGTGATCCTACTGTCTCGGCCTCCCCAGCACAGGGATTACAGGTGTGCCCTACCACACCCGGTTTCAGGGCTAGCATGGTGTGTCTGGGGTTCCAGGGTCAGAATGGCATGTAACACGGGGATCAAATGGGTACTTGTGCTTGCTAGGTGGGTGTTCAGACTACCAAGCTATCTCCCCAGTCTTTGCCTATAATTTTTGCTTTAAATTAAACATATTTGATTTATGACAAAGCATATAGCTTTTGAATTAAGAGAAGATGGATGAATTTCAGAATATTTTAAATATTAACCTTAGTTTAGAAGGATTAGGGATTTGTGATTTTCTTATTCTTCTATGTTCTTTCCTGGAATGTTTAAGTGTATATGACCTTCTAGTAATAATAAATATTTACTGAACTACATCATGATTTAGTTGCTTTAGCTAAAGGTAGGGGATAAAATCTTTCTTGTGATCTATGATATTTCAGATAAATTTAATGTTTTCCTCCTTTTAGAGAACTACATGAGTGTATATACATATATATACTCATATGCATTTGTTTATAGTTATCTACTTACATGGTACATGTGTAGTATAAAATTTAGGACTTAATTATGAAACTGCAAAGTTATATTTTACATTTATGTCTGGAGTGATCTTTTAAGAGCCTGATCATATAATGCAAAACAAGAATGAGCATAAACTTTTCAATAAACACTTTCCAAGCAATAGCATGTTTCCTAAATTGAAGTGTATGGTAATAAGGATATTTATGAGCTGGAAAATGAAAGTCAGGACCTTCATAATAAAGCAATCTAACTACTATATCCCCTGAGAATAGTAGGTATTGCCTAACTAATAAAGAACATTAAAAGAACATCATAATATTTCTTTTTCTTTCAAAAGTGTTTTCTCCCCCTATTAATTATTTTTGAAGTGTAATTGCTTTCTCGTGTGAGATTTGTTGCTTTACTGCATATTCAAACTGACTTTCAATTTCCATTTTAAGGAGTGAGTCAGAAACCAGTATAATTGTCGAATCCTGCCTACCTGAGAAGAATCCACCCTGATACTACTTTGTTTAGGTTTATAAAATGTTTTCATTGATGAATGTTTGCAGTACTTAATGATTACACTCACTGTGGTGAGTTGGCACAAGGAAATATCACCAGTGGACAGGAGCAGCGGACACAGTGCACTGCATGAGCTGTTGGGTTACTCAGGCTCAGATGTTCCCCAGGAGAGGGGATAGGCCAGTAGCCTTCTTGGAGAGGGCCAGCTGACCTCAGAACTCAGAGAGGGCCCGGTTCATCTAGTGGCTCCCAATGACAAGGTCAGGAAGCTGAGTTCAAACTGGCAGGGAACCAAATTCAAGATTGAAGGAGGCACCCAGACTGCTGAGAAAATCTGGTTCTAGCCTCATGGCCAGAAACCAACATGAACTTGAGCGAAACTAAAGGTGTAGGCTTTCTAGGATTATGCAATACCTGCCATAAAGGTATGGCTGGATTTCTGAGATTAGTCAGCTCGGGTCTAGACTTTGCCCGCGTTGCGTACCACTGACAGCAGAAACACACCTTGACATGTACAGTTTTTCTTTTCTTTCTTTTTTTAGTTTTCCTTATTTAAATTTTTTTCCTCTTTTATTTTGCCTTTCCTTGATTGTTATTGTTTTTAAATGAGTGTGAACACAGTTTCTAGTTTTATGTTGTTGTTGTTGCTGGTCTATGCTGTTCTTGTTTTTATTCTCTCCTTCCTGTCTTCATCAGATTTTCAAAGTCCATGTCTTCTTCCTTTTTCCTCCAGACTTGATTCTAACCTCTTCCTCTTCTTCTATTTTCCCCCCTTAGCTCTTTTCAAGTTTTCTTCCCTGAGAGTAAAATTGCCATATTGAGAGCTGATTTATTCTACACAATTTTCCAGTCTATTTTACATTTTGTTATAAAACCACAAATCTAGTTCGCATGGTTAAAGGTGGTAAATTAATAGTTACCTCAATATGGCATTTTCTGGGCTGTTTGAAGTTGTTGTTATTGCTGATTGCACCACTTTGTCCAAGGTGACATAATCGCTATAATCAGTTATTCTTCCTGATATACCAAGACTGAGATTACCTAAAGGTCATTAAAAATACGATAGGCTGGTGCCAAAGAACCAAGAGCTGGCTAAACAGGGAGCAACTTCTCATAGTCAGTACATGCAGAGGTAGGATCTTGCAACGGAATCAGCTACACCTGGGAGACAGCTCTGAGAAGTAGTCATTTCCTAAGTGTTCTAAATACTAGCAGTAAAGCTACTCATCATAGACAATTTACACACATCAATTTGGAAATTAACCCCCCCAAAATAGAAAATATGAAGACACTTAAACAAGATATGAACTCAGACTTCCAGCTCACCAAGAGAAATTCAGGGGGTAATGAGGTAGAACAACTTGAAGACCTCCAACCTGGATTCTCTGAAGTGGTAACAAAGCAGATGAATAAGGCTCTAGGAAAAATCAAATCAGAACTAATTTCTCAGATGAATACAGAGAAAGAAGGTGTTCATTGTGAAAAATACACTTAATAATTCTAGAGCAGGTACAGATAAAATATAGTGGTGCTTGGCAAAATTATGGAAACCATGAATGTCCAACATAGAAAAGAAATGTAATATATGAAACAAATTCAGACAGACATTCAAGAGATTAAAATTTGCATTGAAAGCAAATGCAGCAGAATGAGTCATTGTGAAGACAGAATTTCAAAGATAGAAGACAGGACTGTAGTTAGTGATCATTAAATAAATTATTTCTAAAAATAGTAAGTAGCCAAGAGAAATCAATCCAGCAGCTACTAGGTGATGTAAGGAAGAATAACAAGTGTAATTAGAGTCAATGATAAAGCAAGAGGAACAGTGAATGACATGAAAAAATTTGTTCACAGAAATTTACCAAGCAGAGAAAAAGAATTTGACATACAGATAAATGAGTCATATGGAACTCAAATTAACTGTGATGAAAGTAATCTACAATATGGCATATGATAGTCAAGATTCCAGAAATTGAACACAAGAACAGAATACTAAAAGCTGTTAGGGAAAAGAAACAAATAGCTGTATAAGAAAGCCTATCAGAAGCAAAGGAGCAGAGTCCAAGGCCAATCAGGTTGAAAGTCCATTCAAACGGCTATAGTTCCCTTAGATAGATTCTTTACATGGGGTATTTTATTTATTTATTTACTTATTTATTATTATTATTATTATTATTATTATTATTATTATTTTTTTTTTATATTTTAGGGAAGAGTCTACAGGGTGTTCAGGGTCTCACTACTAGATCAGATTTGTAGTGACCCGCCTGTTTACAGCCTCCCAAGAGCTGGGATTATAGGCGCACCCCACCACACCCAGTCTCTGTTGCTATCTCAGCATGCCCCAGGGGCAGGGCCGGCACAGCAGACCCAAGGATTGAGCCCCTGGCCCCTGCACCTGCTTGCAGGTGCTTTAATCTGCTGAGCTATTTGGCTGGCCCCTGTATGAGCCATTTTAATTCTTAAATCCTTTTCCTTTTCTTAAAACTTTGGATAATACCTATCTCACAGATTGTGGTAAGGATCAAATGGGATAAAACTAATGGAATAACAGAAAAGACCTATTAGGATATATATATATATATATATATATATATATATATATATATATATGTGTGTGTGTGTAATATAATATATATATTATATTTCAAAATTTCAGTATATATTTATGAATCTTAGAATATAATGACATATAAAGAGGAAGATAAATGAACCTGGAATATGTTTAATTGACGCAGTTCAGAGTCTCAGAATCTAAAATGTTCTACCGGTGACATTCATGGATATTTATAGAGTGCTTGCTATGCTCCAGGAACTCTTCTACAGGCTTTACGTGTATTGATTCCTTTCCTCCTTGTGGTAAGGAGAATAATTGGTCACTAAACACCACTCCTAGTACCAAATTCTGTCTCAGTTATTTTTTCTCATTGTTGGGATGAAATACCTGACATCCAGAATTAAGGAAAAAAGGTTTATTTAGCTCACAGTTTGTAGCACTCACACCCATAATTCCAGATGTGATCATGAATTAATTACAAACTTTAGAAGCCCACCACCCCATGACTGTATAAGGCTTTGAGGGGACAACTAGATACAAACTGTAACATTCCATCATATATTAGTTCCTGGAATCGGAAAGTATGTCACATTACTTGGCAAAAGGAATGTTTGCAGAAGTGATTAAATAATACATCTTGAGATAGATGAATTATTCTAGAATCACAAAAGTTCACAGAAGTGAAAGAGGGAAGCCGGTGCCAGGGTTAGGAGGCATGAGAAAGACGAGGCTACCTCTTGTGCTGCAAGTGGAGAAATTGGCACCTTCTAAAAGTTACTGGGAAGAGCAAGGAAATGGACCTAGAATAGCTACAAAGCCATGCAACCTTGACAAAACTTTGACTTTAGTAGAGTAGGTGTCTTAATTACTCTTTTCTCGTTGCTGGGACAAATACCTGACACCCGAAGGAAGGAAAGGTTTATTTAGCTCACAGTTACTGGAGGTTTCAATTCATATTCAGCTGACTCCAAGGCAGCACGGCACATAGCAGAAAACACGTTTTCATGGTAGGGGGCAAAGAGCAAGAGTGAAAAGGGAGGAGTAGCAGCAGCTCAAGCAGCTAGCTTCTCTTCCCTCCTTACATTGAAATGCGAATTACCCACCCCAGGGCAGGGGCAGCATCCACACCCACAATAATCAATCTCAAACTCCAGAAGCTGCCCCAGGACTGCATGAGGCTTTGGGGGGACACCTAGACACAAACCACAACAGTAGGAAAAGCCATTTTGTATTTCTGATCTCTAGAACTGTAAGGTGGCAGATTGTGTTGCTTTAAGCCACTACATTTGTGGTTGTTACAGTGCCAAAGAGAAATTAATAAAATAACAGTCCTTATAATAATCATATGAGCTACATTGTACAGTTCCCTCTAATCCACAGATGAACAAAGTACACTACATGTTCTCAAGAATACAAAACTACTGTGGGCGGAAGGTGAGATTTGGATGTAGGTATCTGGGTTCAGATCCCATGAAACAGAAATCTTCCTGTTATCAATTTTGGAATTTTGGCAAAATTTCATCTGTTCAAACACTTTTTGAGAGCTTCTGTCTGTAAGACCCCTGAGTTCATCTGACCCCCATGCCTCATGCACAGTTCTGGACATAGTCTTCTCTTAAGGCTTTTACTCTTGTTACTGTAAACAACAACACCAACATCAAGAAGTTCCACTTAAATTCAAGGATGAAACTACATTTTTACATGTCCGTCCATCAAAATTGTAATTTTCGTTAATATTCCATTATGGAAATCTTCTAAAAGTTGGAATTTCTTTTTAAGTGTTTGGTACAGGGTCTTGTTCTGCAGCTTGGACTCGATGTAATCTTCTTGCCTCAGCCTCCCCAGTGTTGGGATTATAGGCATGTGCCACCATACCCAGACTGGGTAGTCGGCTCAGGACACCAAGGGGTGGGGCTGGAGTACCATGTGGTGCCAGGGATCTAAACCTGGTCCTTGCGCTTGCCTAAGCGGCTCTTAGTCCAGCTGAGCTATCTTGCCAACCTTAAAAGTGGGACTGTTTTATTTACGTATTTATGTATTTTGTTCTCTTAAGACCGATTCTTGCTTTGTCGCCCAGGCTAGCCTGGAACTCACAGCAATCCTCCTACTTCAGCCTCTGAAATGCTGTACTACCATTCCTGGCTAAAAGTGGGAATAATTTTTAAAAGGAAAAAAGATTAAGTTGGCTACTATGAAGAGATGGATTAATCCAAGTAAAAAATTCAGACAAAAATGTTTATCTTTGTCAGTATTTGGAAAGTGTTTCAAGAATGTTTATTTTTAGTAGACATGGATCTTAGCTCTGTGTATGGCTTTCAGGACCAATTTAAAAATCCACTGAAAAATGATTGCACAAAAATTGCCTATCTTCTGTGTGTGTGTGTGTGTGTGTGTGTGTGTGTGTGTGTGTGTTTTAAGATATAGCTCTCAGCAAATGTATCTTCACATCTTTAGAGTGTTTACTTGATCAGTCTTATCATTTATTTTAAAGTGTTTTTGTTGGGTTAGAAAGTTTAATCTTTGACCTGTTCTTTGACTTCTTTCCATGATTTCATCTTCTCAAAAAATAGGTAGTGCATGACTAACTAGCAACTAGAAGTGGATTTGGAATTGGTGAGACCTAAACCTGATTCAACCTCAGTTGTTACCTGCAGGACTTCAGACAAGTTGCTCAAAGTCCGCCTTCATATTTAAAGTGCTTTCATTGTATTACTGTGTCCTGCCTGACTCCTAGAAAGTGGTAAAAATGTTAGCTACCAAAATTTAAAACCCAAACTTCATTACAAGCCGATTCCTGTGTCTGTTGCTACATACCAAGCATAGTATCACAGTCGGAGGGTTCCTTACCTAGCAAGAACAGAAGGGCAATGCTCACTCTCAAATACTTCTTCACTTCAAGCATTAGCTTTCTTTCCTTTACTAACTAGACAAAAAGGCATAATGTCATCTTGCTAGTAGCTTTGACTCTTGAGAACTTTGGAAAGGGAAGACATGTTAGTTTTCAAATTTAAGTGAGAAGATGAGAGGAGGCATGAGTGTTTCCCCAGCACAGAAATTAGCCCCAGCAGAAGAGGAGACCATCACTACCAGTGAGTACCTACTCTGTGCCACTAATATTATGTCACAGAATCCTTCTAGGGACTCCTTTGGATTAGATAAGAAGGTAAGTTTTTCATAGATGGGGAAATGAATAACAAAGGGGACAAAGGAACTTCTTCAAGGTCACATGGGGCACCTTGGGATTCAGATCCAGGATACCAGCTGGCCTCTTATACAGGCTCTTTTGCCATAAATTAGCCTTTGAATGGTTCCACGTGATACCAAAAGAGATTATTGAGTGGCCAGCAGCACACAGGCATAATTTCTGCTATTATCCTGTCATATTGCAAAGTGATTTTTCTCCTGAATGCATAATTATTGTACCCTTAGCTGTGTAAAGAAAAACGCTTTTTGCTAACTAGTTGACACCATTATAATGACAGAAGGTACAGTTGACAGACAAGGGTGCAGCAGAGACAGGCAGCTTGCTAGCAAGTTTTCTTTTATGCCAGAGAATTCACTTTGCCCTTCACAAAGAAGAGCACAGTTCAAAGGTCTGGGAGCCATAACATTCAGTTCTGCAGCTGCAAATCCCAATAAAATCTAAAAGTAGGATTTTCCCCCAGAGTAATAGACCATTAGCTAAGCTCCCCAAATCTATTGAAGATAAAATTCAGTGCCTTTTAGAGCATCACACTCAATCCAGGTCAGGGACATCCATCATGTCTTATTCTTCAAATTTCTCAATGCTTTCTCTTCATGAGTTGATTTGTCAAGAATCATTGGTTGAGTGTAAAGCATTGAATAAAAAAGAATTAATTTGCTAGTTCTTTGTACATTACTGATTATGATTATTATATAGAAATGATTTAATTTTTCCAGTTTATATTGCTTTTTTTGTTTTGAGACAGGTTCTCACTCTGCAGTTCATATGAACTTGAACTCACTATGTAGTCCAGGTTGACTCAACCTCTTGGTGATCCTCTTGCCTCAGCTGACTGAGTGCTGGGATGACAGGCTTGCAATATCATGGCTGGACAGTTTTGTATGGATTTTCACTCACAAGGAGTCATTTTTAGGATTTTACTGTTGACTTACCACTGTCTTCAATCGAGAAATAGAAGTCTTTTGTTGCGTTGCTTCCCTGTTTCAAGACATAGCAGATATGCATTCATCAATGTCAGCTACAAAGAGAAAATATCACACTGAGTCATACTGGAGCAACAGCAAACAAGGTTGCTAATCACTTTAGTGCTTTCATTAGGCACAGAAATACTGGACTAGATAAAATTTGAAATAATGTTAAAATGAACGTGACTCTATCTACTTCCTAAATCTGTAATGGCAAAAATAAAAATTACTTTAGGTCTTCTCATACGAGATGCATGTTCTCTGAGATAATGTATAAGAAAGGGCACATTATCATTGTGCTTGCTTTATGGGATCCTTGTTCTCTATGGACAGTCAAGTCTTGTAAAAAAGTCTATCTTGTGTTAAGCTTTTTGCATAAGCATAGAATTTGGCATAATGATGGATATTCATTAAAGCTATGTCAGGATGGATTGGAATAGGAGTTACATCTTGAGAGAAAAGAAAGTGAAAATAAAATGATGGGTTTTTTTTTTCTATTGTTTATTCCTTTAGGGTTTTGAGAATTTATTTCTTGGATGTGTAAATGCATCTTATCAGTAAATATTATAATTTTAAAGGCAATTTGTTCAGAGGGACTAATAAAAACAATCCTTACAGTGCCATACATAATTTCATTTGCTTTAGAAGCAATTTTGAAAATGTAAATAAGTATGTTTTAAACACATCCTGCAAGTTTTACTCTGAGATTACATCTATCTTACCTGTATCGTATGTGGAAAATTTTGCACAACTCTTAATATAGCATGCCCAGAGCTACTTAAGGAAGTTGAAAAATAACATAAAAAGTTACCAGAAGACAGCAGGCCGCATCACTTGGGAAAGTAGACAGCCTTGTCTTTAGTTCATCATCAGTAGTAACTCAAATAATATAACAGAAAATTATCTTTAAAGCATAGTCCTTCACACATTTAGACAAACTTATTTCAATGCTTTTCTAGATGTGGAAATTACATTATTAGATGTGGAATTATACACTAAAAATGTGTAATGTAATAATTTATACCCAAACTCTAGGTATCAAAAGTCTTTAAATATATGAACATTAATAAAATATACAAAGAATTTCTAGATGTTGCTTATAAAATTCAAAATCAAATCTGATATTATAGAAATGAATGCAAATGTACAGTATTTCAGAAATGGAAGCTACCTTGTTGTTTTATTGCATTAAGGTATAATTAGAAACTGCATTCTATACAAATGAGTTCCTATTACATGGCCACACTGATGAAATAGATGAAAAAGGAGTTGTTCCTTTTTTGTTTTTATTCTGCCATACTGTACAGGAAATGGATTTTACCGTGGATTGGCTGGGGTCAGCATAGTTTTGCAAAGAGCTGCGAGAGCTCCCCTTAAGGAGGGAAACATAGGAATCAGGGAGGAACGAGACTGACCTTGTGTAAATACTTGGGTGCTCTCGTCTCCAAGGCAAGTGTTGATAATGAAGCCATGCCCTGGTCCCCTGGTCACTTTATCCCTCAGGAGCCTATGAAGACTGTCCTCATCTCCTGCCTCTTGAGTCTTACTGGTAATGAGGAAGCCCAGGTGTTCATTGTGAAGCTGCTTCAAGGCTGGGGAGCCTCTGTTAATGACAATGTGCGGAGCCTTGTTGTCAACAGAAGTGATGTGGACCCTCATTACCTGAGGGGTGTGTGTCTCCAGGGCAGTGTCTGGGAAGTCATAGAAATAAATGTCCATGCCATCTGTCACAGTCAAGGAGAAATTGTCTTCCGTGGTGTCACTGCCATCATGCCAGTAGCTAATCAATTTCTCACTCAGGTTTTGCTTGGTAAAAGTAGTCACAGAATGGCTACCATTATATAGAATCCTACCATGGATAGGGATTGTAAAGAGTGATTGTAAAGAGAATAAAATCATCTGGCATACCCTTGTCTTCCACTGTCAGCTCTAAAGAAGTGAGCAGGTTGCTGTCTCCTTCCTGCAGAGTTAGATTATGGATGGTCAAGACAGTTTTCCTGTTGTCTCCATCTGTGAGGAAGACCTTGAAAGCCCTGAAAACAGAACCATAAGCACCAGTCACTCTGAACTCAAATGCATCCCTCTTTATCTCCTCATTTGAAATATGGACACAGGATATTTTGTTGCTAGCTAGTTGAGGCTCAGCAAAACAGGAAATAGACTCCCCAGGCTGGTCAGAACATGCCAAGTGGCCCAGGCCAGGAGCCTATGTAATGGTGAAGTGAAGTGGTGCCCTAGGGCTTTGAGTGTCATTTATGTTAAGCAGTGAACTGGTGAGGGTCACTCTGTCCCCTTCTGTCAAAATGATCCTTTTGCTGACTACTCCAGGAAGGACCCTGTTGAAGTTGCTAATAGCAATGTAGAAGTATTGTTCTGTTATAAGATTAACCCCATCTGACAGTTAGGATAGATATACAGCTACTTTCTCTTAATTCAATGAGTAGAAAGATTTGTACTAATAGTGTTTGTGGACAGGATATCATGTCTGCATCCTGTACAATGAATAACCACTAAGAAGACAACAATATGCAATGTATTAATTATTGAAACTGTCCTACTAATCAGTTTTGAAACTGTTTCATTGCTATTTGTTTCTCAACAAAATTATTTAAAAAATTAATCCCATCTGTTACATCAAACTTGATAAAATCAACAAACCCTTTTTGACCTGTATGAGTATAACAAATGAGGCCTCTATCAATTTCATCCTGGGTAAGATTCATTCCCAAGGAGATATTGTTCTTCACTTCTCCTCTAGGTTTTCTCATTCTCTATAGAAGCCCTTGTTAAGGCCCAGAATGGAGGATAAAACTGAGGTTCTCATCACCTGAGTCAAGATCTATAGCCTTGAGGACCTTATTTGTGATGACTTTAGAGTGTCCTGTTTCTACTCTCAGTCCACTGTTAATGATCAGCTGAGGGGTTGCACCATTCACTGGGATCACCACAATTGGTATCTTTGTGTGGGTAGTCTGCTTGCCATCACTCAGCCCGATCTCAAAGCTGTCTTCTGTGGTCTCCCAGTCACCATACTTATACATGATGGTGGATGCCTCTGGATCTCCTGTAAGGTAAAGCTGCAGATGGGCTGGTTACTTGAAGCCAGCTGCCATATAATTTGTTCATGGCAAGGGAGGGCTGTAAGTTGAAAATGAAGCTTATTTGGTGGCAGGTCAGTGTCTGCTCCACTGAGCAGTGGGCTATCTATGACCAGGCTCATCCCTTCTAATACCAGAAACTCAGCTCAGGCTGCTCATCATTGGTGAGTAAGATGATGATTGGGAGGAAGACATTTGGGGAGAAATTGATGCTATCAGAGCAATAAAATGTGAATTGATCTGCTCATGGTTCTACCCCCTCATGGATATTCTGTACATAATTGATGTGTCCCTCTTTCAAATCCTTGGTATATATAAAAGGCACTGATGGCATTATGAGCCCTGGACACTTCTGAGCTAGGAGCTGGTGCAATGTTCTCCAGGTAGCCAGAGGCTGGCTGCCCAATTACTTTGCATAGGACTTCATCTTGAGAAGTGTCAGCATCTTCAGTGTTGAGATGCTGTAAAGTCAAGGGGCTCTTCTCACCTTTGTAGACAGTGAAGGACTCCTCTGCTAAGACTTTGGGGGCTTCATTGTCCACAGGCAGCACTCTCACTTGCACTTGAAAATTCTTTATTTTGCCTTCCCCCTCTACCTAGTGAGAAGAATCCTTGGAGAGGATGAAGCTGAAGGAATTGCACTGCTCTTGGAAATCAACTTCACCTCCAGTGAAGTTACTGCCCCACTGATGAGGTCTTCTTGGGTGAATTGTTCTGTAGGCAAACCATTGACCAGAATAGTGCCTAATTGAGGGCTGTCTTCCACAGCAAAAGACATCAAGTCATTTATTTCCTTCCTATTGTGAGTAACACTCATGGTGATTTCAATGGCTTTATTCTCTAGTACATCTATGGAAATATCCAGTGATGGGCTATCTGTGATAGAGAGCCTGGGACTTCCATCGGCCACAGTCAGATGCACAGAAACCTTGACAGTGATGGGTATGTGGTACACCCCATCACCTACCTCCAGATGGAAGCTATCACGGCTGGTCTGGTCTCTGCTTCACTGGTAAGAGACACTCCCATAAATAATATCAGCTCATGTGAAAGATTCCCCTGGGATCATACATTTTTTGAAGTACTATAAGTGACCATGTTGGGAACCCCGGACTAAAATGAAGACAATTTGGTCAATATCTGTGTCAGAATCTATAACATCCAGCTCATTACTGCTGAGGATAAGCCTGTCTCCCTATGAGATGGTAAAGTCTTTGTTGGTAATTTCTGGAGGCTGGTTGTCCACGGGCTGCAGGAAAACTATGAATGTGCCTTGCAGCATCCTCTACCTGGTAGGTGAACTGTACAACCCAAGGTATAATCCCCAGCTTCTTGTGTGTGGGGGCTGGTAAGCAATCTTGTGGTGATTTAGCTGGACCTGAGTGAAGTGCATGATGGGCATGTCTGGTGAATCAATGAGCACAGTTTCTCCGGCCTGGATCTGGTGGTGGCTCCCTGTGTCCACTGGGGGTGTCAGTAAGGTGTAGCACAGCTTCTTGTTATCTGAGTCTTAGTCAACATATTGGAGAAATTTCTTCTGGAAGTGAGTTGATATCCTCGCACAGTCATTTGCAGAGTAGATCCTATGTACAGCTCTGGACTCAGCAAATCCACAGGTTGGACCTTGATGGTGAAGAAGTGCTGGTTGGATGGATTGAGTGGGTCATGGTCATCTTCCACATGGAAGGCGAGGTGGGCCATTACAGATTGAGGGCTGTGTGGGCCAAGGTGGCAGTAGAAGAGACTTTCGTTATGTCTCTCTGCAGTCACTGAGTCACTACCATCTGAGTCCTTCCTTTTCCATGTAGTGCCAGTCACTGTTTGGAAGGGACAGAGGTGGTTCAGCCTGCCAAAGCAGCATGTCCTTAAGGTGCTGACTAGAAGGGCGGGAACCAGAGACCAGATCCCATTCTCTCTCATTTCCCTCTAGGGACGATCCTCTGGATGGTTGAGTCCTTCGAATCAATGTCTGTAGCACTCAGGACAAAGGGTGCCCTTACATCAGTGAGAGTCCTGTGTTGGCCCTGAGTATTGGTGGTTCATCATCCACAGGTATGACGGTGAGGGGGAGGAGGTGCTCCATGTGCTAGTGCTCATCTTCCACTTGAAAAATGATGTTGTCACTGCCATCATGATAGTATACCACTTGCCCTGCTGCCAGGTCCCCCGGTGTGAAGTATTTGTAGCCAGTAGGTGCCTCAAGAATCACCAGCTGCCTGTGTCTCAGACCCCTGACTGCTGCCATTTTCACTTCCCCAGATTTTCTTTGTCACTGATCTGGAGGTTATAGGGACTGGACAGAGGCCTGGACTGACCCTCCAAAAGTAGTAGTCCCAAGTGATAGCTAGCTACCAGAGCCAGGGCATTCATGGGATTTGCCACCACAGTGACGGCGAAAGGCTCTGAAGCAGCACCATCACTGTCAATCCCCTAAGCTCTAGCTGAAAGACAGATCCCTTGTGGAGCTCTTCCTAGGGGGACAATAAGCAACTCTGAGCTCCTGCAGCTCTCTCTGGGTGAAGAAAGAAACTGGAGGGCCCAGAGGGTCATCAGTGCTGACTACCTAGCCCTGCTGCCCCCGGTGCCCTGGTTGGACTGTGGGGACATTAAGAATGCTGAACACTAGCTCATCAGGGTCTGACTCATCGTACTTTGTGCCAGTGAATCAGGGGTCAGGGCCGTTAACACCATTTGATTGATGTCCAGCACCATCAGGGCCAAGAGGCTGGGCCTGGACATGGTGTTGGCAGATGCTCTGTGGATCCTTACTAGCAGCGGAAGTGCTCGAAGGCAAACACCTCCAGGGAACCGTGTCTCTTCTCTACGACCCTAGCAGTGGTCCCTGCTGGGGGAGGAGGTGGCAGTGTGCTGGTATAGCACTGCAGCGCAGACAAAAGTCTCACAGTCCACCAGCTTGCCTCTGGGCAGGGGGGCCCCGCAGCATCCACCAAGAGCCCATAGTTGGGCAGTGGGCTGCTCTCGAGGGGAAGGGCTGTGAGCCTGCACTTGCGGGGAGCCGTGTCCCAGGAGTCCTGGGAGAGGATGCCAAACTTGCTGCAGTCAATGGTCTGGGTCCAACACCGCAGTTTAAACTCGGTCAAAAGCCTGTTGTGTGTCACCAGCTCCAGTTGGGAGAAGACCACTTCCACCGACAGGACGACCAGCGTCTTTGTCAGGACTTCAGAGCTCAGCTGGATCCGCACCCAGTCGCGCCTGGGGCTGCTCAAACTCAAGTGAGTGCAGAGGACCTGGCGCACCCCGAACGTGCTGAGGAAGTAACGCATGCTGAGCGCACCGTGGTGCAAGGGTTGGACGTCCAGTAATGTCACCTCGCACCGGTCTCCTGGCTGCACGCGAATCACCAGGTCCCGGAGCGAATCGAGCCAAAGAGAGCTGCACAGGGGCACCTAAAGCTCAGGGTTGGCTGTCAGGACGCGGGGAATCGCGGGGCCGCTGTCATCAGGGGCTCCCGAGGCAGACTGGCAGGACGCCGGGCTGGGTCCTTCCCCATGCAAAAATACCTGTCCCTGCAGCGCACGACAGCTTAGAAGCAGGCAGGCAAGCGCTACAAGCTGTGGGAGTGTAGCGGAGGGTTGCAGAGAATTCCCAGCCACCGCCCCGGGGGTACGGGGGCGGGGGAGGGAGGGGAGGTTTCGGGGTACAGACGCCAGAAGGGTCTCCTATCCCAAGAGGGGCCGATTCTTGGCAGGTGGTGGCTGCTGTCCAGTCCGGAACTGCTGCCTGAATCCTGTTGCAGCCAGCAGCGGCACTTGAGTCGCGCAAGTGTTAGCAACAGGGAAAGGGACCTGCCACCTCCTGCTGTCACCGCCTCCCGCACGCCTCGTCCAGAGTGTCTCCCCTGAAGGGTCAGTTCTACGCATTGGAGCCACCGTTTGAGTGGCCCATTCATCCAGAGAGTGGTCTTTCCGGTAGAGTGGAGAGAAATCATTGCTCTTCCTCAACCCTGACAGGAGTGCATTTTCTTGCAAAAATTGAATCTCGGCGTGGACATAAAAAAGCTGTCAGAAGCTAGTTTGCAAATAGGATTTTCCAGCTGTCTGAGGAAACAGCTTTTTCCAGGTCTTGCACTTTTATGCTTAGGAAGCAAGCCTCACATTTTTCTTCTGCTTAGCTATTGGGGAAAAACAAAAGAAAACAAAACCAGTCCAGGCTGGCAAAACTGAATAGTTTAGAATCTGTTTCTAGGCAGTGGGTCTCATGCAACGCGATGGAGCACGCAGGTCAGTTTCCTTTTATTTTGTTAGAATATAGTTTCATATCTGATCAACAGAGACTGTGTGAGTTTATTAGCCATGGTTCTTACTTTCTATGTAGAAGAAAAAGATAGAGTATCCAAAAGGCAAGAATGTCAAGGCAAACAGCAGAGAAAATATTTTCTACAGATTCTTGGATTGATCTCTATAAATCAACTTACTTACCAACTGGAATCAGGTTTTCAGATGCTGATTTCCACGCTCTGTGGGCTTAGTGCTGGGTACAATCTCATCTCAATTTTACAAAATATGGAAAGCCAACTTGGTCACTGTGCAGAAGAATCTTTTCCTATAAATAAAACCGTAGTTGATATGCCTTCTTACACAGTTAGTGTGACTGTGACTTTTTGTTGACAAGAAAAACAAATGAACACCAAACTGTATTGATACAAATAGCTTCAAAGGGAATCCAAGCCTGGAATCCAATAGGCTCCTAAATTAGTCTTGAAATTTTTCCTTTACAGTGGTGCAGAGGCTTATTCTATTGACAATGGCAGTTGCATCAGTAGCAGCCAATTCTCACAGCAAGAATATGAGTGGTAGTACTATGAAAGAGTTAATCTATTTAAACATGACATTTATCCAGCCAGTGAAATGCTGTGTTCTATGTGATCCTGTAAAGGAGAATGCTAGTACAGCCCAGGTGAACATAGATTTGTTTAGATAACAGATTTAAGGTGCATACATTTGGGATAATGTATGTTTAGCCTAAATAGGCTATGTTAGTGCGTCCAGAAAATATTATTTTAAAGTCCTTTTTTATTAAAACAAGTAAAATGTCATCACAAGTGAAACAGGTATTATATTTCATAAAGCTACTGCCATGCTCAAAATCTTTTCCTTTATGGTCCCAAAGCCATGTTAGTGGGTTTCTGTGTCAGTGGACAGCTGTCTTCCACAGTAGCCTTGAAGTTTTATGAGACCAGGGAGTATATGGTGTTTATCATTAAGACCTAGTGCTTATGCTAAGGACTGGCACATAGCTGAAATATACTAAGCATTTATGTATTGATTGATTGACTGAGTGAATAGAAAAATGAAAGAGTACCATAAAGCTGAGATAAGCTGTGAAAATGATTTGTCCTATTTGCCAATTAAATAAAAATACAATGATTTTAACTTTTATTTTTGCATATGCTGAGTATTCTGAATTTTCCCCAATTCTGTAAAAGTACAGAATATAAATAGGAAATGCATGAGAAATATATGATTCTACCTTCATTAAATATGTCTCCAAGAGTTTTATAGCTTTAGCCATGTGCTACTGTACATTATGATCAAGATCTGTTGAACAGATGTACAAATATTGTATGTGATTCAAACACTAATGTATTTTCAGAAGATGTTAGTTGAAGTGAATGGAGAATCAGTTATGCAGGATAAATAAGTTTGAGATCTAGTGTGATGTGGTGGTGACAGTTAGCAGTAGTGCATTGCATAATAGGAATTTGCTAGGAGAGTATGTCTGGTGTCACCAGCACACATCGCAATTTAAGGTGATGGATATGATAATAATTATTTTCATCGGGATGATTATTTCACAACATCTATTTGTATCAAAACATTCCATCATATACCTTAAAGGTACACAATTTTTGCATGTTTGTTGAGATGTTACTTTGTTGAAAGATTAAAAATTAAAATTAAACTATACACAATATACTCAAGTACAAATTAAACTATACACAATATACTCAAGTGTAAATAATAATTAATTTTCAAAAGTAAATTTTTTCACAAACCAAAGACTAAGTTTAAATCAATTTTTCACAGTTAAACAAGTAGCCTAAACAACTAATTTGAAGATAACATCATGCAATACAACAACCATTGTTGAATTCCTATTACTTTGCTTAGTGAAATTTTATATCGTTTCTGTTACTGTTTTTCTTGTTGCTATTTTGTATTCTTTAAAAAATAAAATATATAAAACACAAAATAAAGCCCTAGTTTAATGAAACACTAGTCAAATTATTTGAAGCTTTAATAATTTAGAGAGAAACAATATTTTAACACTACAATTAATAAGAATAAGAATAATGGATAATTGGGGCTGGGTATTTACCTCCACGGTCGAATGCTTGCCTAGCAAGCTGCAAGCCCTGGGTTCAGTCCTTGGCACCAAAAACAAAAAACAAACCTCCCCTTAAAAACAATTCAGCCAAAAAAATACAGTAAAATCAAGACTAATGAATAATAAATTCAGACAACAAAATATGAGAAAATGGACAATTATTTGTTAGAGAGAGAGAGAGAGTGAGAGAGAGTGTGTATCTTTATAGTGGTTCATCAAAAGTTCATGAGTGCTTTTGTTTGTGAACAATTTGGTTCACAAAAAGCATTGTTTGGCAAAATTTGTTTTGTTTGCAAACTCTGCATTGGGTGGCAAACACAACAATGGCCAACCTTACCTCATGGACACAAATGTGGCCATCTTTAAACATTCACAATTTTATTTATTTGTTTGTTGTATTTAGTACAGGGTCTACAGGGTCTCAGTATGTAGACCAGACTCATAGTGATTCACCTGTGTTCAGCCTCCCAAGTGCTAGGATTACAGGCGCACACCACTACACCCAGTCTCCATCCCCATCTCAGCTCACCCCGGCAGTGGGGCCAGCACTGCATGCTGGGGATTGAACCCCAGCCACTGCACTCTGCCTAAGCAGGTGCTTTACTCATCTGAGCTATCTGGCCAGCCCTGAATTTAACAATTATATCTTGATTATTTCATAAAGTCTTATGTATATCAAAATATTACATTGTATATCTTAAACATTTATACTTTTTCTTTATCAATTATATCTCACAAGAGCTGGAAAAATGTTAACTTTGAAAATTTATTTCATTGTTCGATCCTTGTAGTATACAGTGTCTACATTCCTATATGAAGTTAGTACATGTACATAACATCACTTTTAATGCTAAACTGTTACTATCAAGTGATATTATATGATTTTGCTAGGGGTCTTCTAAGAAGGTGCCACAGCTAGATGTGTAAACAACAGAAGCTTATTGCTTCATGGCTCTTGAGGCAATAGGTCAAATTCAGCAGTATTAGTTCCTTCTGAGGTCTGAAGGGCAGATCTCTTTGCACCCTGTCTCCTTGGCTTGCACCTGCTGGCCTCATCCTGTGTCTGTTCACACTAGCCTCCCTTTATTTGGCCAAACTTCTCTTTCCCACAGGATCTCAGTGACATTGGAGTAGCACTTCCCTGCTGACCCCATTTGAACTTGACTACCTCTGTAAAGACACCTATAAGTCAGGTCACATTTTGGAGCATTAAGGTTAAGAATTCACTCCATATATACATTTTTTGGAGTAAGAATTTAGCCCATAACACTCATCCACTGACCCTTCAAAGTTCATTTTTTCATACATGCAAAATGCATCTACATCATCTTCCTATTTTGCCAAGACTAAATCCATTATAAAGTTAACTGTAAATGCAACACCTAATCCACATATCACTTAAGTCAGTTATGGATGAGACTCAGGATATGATTCTTCTTGGGGTCCAATGCTTCTCCAGTTGAAAAACCTGTGAAACCAGATGATACATCTGCTATTGGTGGCTTATGTCTAGATGTGCCCTCAAAGTCTCATGGGGTCATAGGTAGGGCCTTTTCAGAAGTGCATGGATCTAGAGTATGTGAAGCTGGGGTTAAGAATGTGTGACCAGTAAATTAGTCCACTGATTGGTTCAGCATAGTTCAGTGTGAGATTAAGAGTGCCCCACCCAAGGTGTGAATGCTGCCCTCCTAAGGGCAGGTAGCCTGGACAAAAATGTAAGGGACTGAAAGAGGGCTATTGTGGCTTCTTGTTGCTTTTTGCTCAGTTGCTTGCTGCCTTGCTGTCTCCTGCCTGCTTGCCATGGACATTTTCTCCTCTGTGACACTCCTCTGTCAAGTGCCCCTCTGCCTTGGAGCCAGGTGATCATGTACTGAAACCTCTACAAACTGTGAGCTAAGTAAACCTTTCCTCCTCTAACTCTGATTGTTGGGTATCTTGTCTCAGCCATGAGAAAAGTAACTAAGAAATCTGCTTCTAAAATACAGTGGTGTAAGAGGCCAAGGGTAGGTGTTTAAATTCTGAAATGGTTAAACCAGGAAGAAAATAGGGAGTATGTGTCTCCAGCAAGTCCATAACCTGGCAGAGCAAATCTCATTATGTTTTCAGGCTTGAGAATAAGTTTTTTGACTGGATGCTCTGCCTTCTCCTTCCCCTGGGTCCACTGATGGGTGGTTCTGTCCTTAGCCCAAGGTGGTAATTTTTTAAACTTGCTACAAAAAAAACTCTGTCACTAAAAGAAAACTTTTGATAACATCTTGAAGGAGAAAGGAGGAGGAAAACAATTGTTTAATTGTAATTTAACCTACTTAATACTTTGAATATCTATAGTGTTAAGACAGTGCTTGATGTCAATTCATATTTGTGTGATTAGGTACCAAATCAACATGGAAGACTATATATATGGCAAGATTTATTATCAAATGCTTTGAAGAAATAATTATAATAAGAATTCTCAATAGTACGGTATACATTTGCACTATGATTCCTTTATACATGTTCATCATATATATATATGTATATATATATATATTTG